ATACATTAATTAAATTAAATAAACATAGAATATTAACTAACACCCGGTATATTGAAGAATTTTGCAAACCAAAAATAATATCCTCAGAATACAAAGAAAAATAGCCGAAAGTAAAAGAAATCAATATAAACAGTATTTTATTCGCTTTGTGTCCAAAATGGACAAAATTAATACTCCAAATCTATGCCAAGGCTTAAAGCAGCAACAACGCTACACATGTAACAAAGAATTCTAGTCTCTTGCCAAATTTGATTGTCCTGACTAATCACCTGTTAGGCCTAATTAATTTTAGAATGTTTTAAAGTGTTGCAATTGTGATATATTTTAATGTGTGATATGATGAGGCTGTTGACGAACTGTGATTGTTTCTTAAATTAATGAAATTTTTTTTTAACTATCTGTTATTTTAGAAAAACTGATGATGGTGGAAAAATACACCGAAACGTATTTTAATTGATAAACAAAGACAATAAATGACTGAAACCCAGGAATTAATTTTTGATTTAATTTGAATGTAAAATGCCAATGGGTTTTTCCTTCTAACTACCAGAAATGTTCAATACGGACCGGGTTTTTGTGTAGCAGGATCTTAACAGCATGAAAAGAACCCTTCAGTATCAGCACTAAAATGTTTGGAAAATTTTGGCAAAAATTCACAGTTAACGACGCGTTTCTGGAAAAGGAGTATTTAAGACAAAAAACAGATTAGGTTGGGTTTGTGTTAACTTTGGGTTGCTTTCAAAAAAATTGGCATTAACACCAAACGAAAAAGTCCGAAAATCAAAAACTGGACTGAATTTTGAGCGATTTGCATTTAAATTGATTTTATATTGATTCTAATCTGGTTCTGCAAGCCACTCAAGAGCCATTCTCGCATCATTCCCGCAACATGTACACGAGAAATCCCCGATAAGGGTTGTCGTTTGCAACAAGGGGAGTTTTGCTTGTGCAGGGTTAACTGGGAAAATGGGGGGTTGGTGCGAACTGAGCCGTGAACGATAAGCAGATGGTGAATTTTCAATTTTTTTTAATAGATCATGACTAAACTGAGTCACTTCCTCTAAAGCTGAGTCGTCAGTCAGTTAATCTACTTAATTTTTGTGAAGATAAATTGTCCCTATTCGCCTGGGGAATAAACAACTTTCATTTTTAAACTATTTCTCTTGCTCCAAACTTGAATCTGCAATAAGACAACAGTGTAACTTTCGCACTTGGATTAAAGATCAGACTTATCATTGGGATTTGGCACCCAAAATTAGTTTTTCTTGATGGCATTTTGACCCTTTCAAACTATGAATCTGCACTGCCAAAGTTTGCTGGCTGCTTGCAAAGACCCCGAATAGGTTAGTCATGCTTTTATATAATCACCTCTTGCTGGCATTTTATCGGACATCAGTGTTGTTAAGGTAAAAGTAAGGAATTCCACAAGTATGACTTCTTTTAGTTTGTACACAATCGGCCACACCTTGCTTGCTAGTCCGTCGATACGTTCACCTCTGGTATTGCCATGTGAAAAGTCTGCCTTCGTTCCTACCGGTACTGTTATCGGTACCATTCAATTGTGCTGCACTCGTTATAGCCAAATTCCAAGAACTTTTTATGCCACTTTACCATTTGTAATCGACAGATTTTTCTCTCCAACTCACACCAGCAAGATCGCATGCAGATTTTTCATCCATCCAGACAATGGTATCCCCAAAGTCCCATTTGTATTAAAAACAATCGTCCGACGCGATAGAGAAGAGAAATGTCCTCCCTCAGGCTCTTAACGTCGACTTAGACAATGGAAAACTTGCCATTTAATGGACGATGTTTATTTGGCAGGGATCATCAGGGTTTCGTGCGCTTTATTTGTGTGTGTACTTGAACGCGAAGAAGTTGCTCTACTTAAACCGCTGGATTATTATCTCTTATTAACCCACTGGATTTAAATCGTTTAATAAATTGGAGTAATAAGCTCTAATTTAATGGTAAGAAGTGGAAAAGTGCATTAGTTTTTATCGTTCGAGTTTATTGCAGTTAGAATGAAGTTTTATACGCTAGCTTAAAAGCGCTCATTTTCAGATTTACAATGACTGTAAAAAACAGCATTCTGTGCAATGTGCGTTTGAGGGATTTTAGAGTGAAGTGTCTTCTATCTACTACAGAAATTTCAAATCGTTCCTTAACCCAGATTAGAAGTTGCGGTTTTTTTATTGGAGAGTCTGCAGTTGCTTGAACACCTTCGTTTTCAGCTCATGATTTACAAAAAATAGCACCTTATGCGATTTGGATGAAAGTTTGAGCGTTTTTACAGTGTTAAGTGTTTTCTATCGACTACAGAAATTTGAAAGCGTTACTTGATAAAGATTGGAAGTCGCGATTTTTTTATTGGAGAGTCTGTAGTTGCTCAAAATCGTTTATTTCGACCCAAAATTTACAAACCGCGCCGCACAAAGAACAGTATGATGTTCATTGCATTAGGTCAGAACTATTCTTAAAAATGATTCATTAAATATGTTCATTTTTATAACATTAGTGTAATCTGTAGGTAATAGGGTGTTTTCACTTTTTTTTGTTGATGTTGATATATAGAAAGTAGTTATGGCAAAGATTACACTGATATCATTTTTTCTGCAAAAAAAGTCTATAATAATTTTAAAGCCAGTTTAAATAATCAGATATTTTCCGCCAAAAACGCCGAATCCGTATCGTCGGTTGTCTATCCTGTTTGTGACGTAGCAGGTCATATCAACAAAGTGTCTCGTGTTTATTTTGTTATTTTGGCTTTGTTTTATTATTTAAGTTATTGTGATTATCATTATTTTATTGATTATTATTATCTTGCATAATGGAAAATAGTCACATTTATGGATCACAAAATAAGTGGTGTTTTGTGCCAGGATGCAAGAATATCTCAATAAGTGCTCCAAACAAACTCTTTCTAACCGTTCCCCATGATTATGCACGTAAAGTTTTATGGCTCAAAGCAGCTAGATGTGATGTTCCTAAATCAAAATCAGTGTTGTTGCGAGGATCATTTTAATGAAAGTACGAACAAAAAGCTAATAATGAGGCAGACAGAATATGCCTTCGATCGTACTCTGTGTTCTGAGCAAATTCTACTTTGTACAGTGCACAAAGAACCCTCTCGTTTCAATTCCACATATCCGATATCACCATATTGTTCTCGTGATGCCCAAAACACAAATTTAAGAGTTCATTTTAGGTTTAAAGCAGCCATGTATATAGGTTAGGTTAAATTGAATAAGTGAAATATATATTATTTACCTAATACAGACATATTAGTATATTAAGGAGAGAATAACTATTAATAAATTTACGAATTTTTACTAACGCTGCTGCTTTGACACTCTTAAATTCGGCTGAATTAAAGCGTTCGTCGCGTAAAAATATGTACATGGTAAATTGTTTGTTGACGCTTTAAGGCATCCTTCTGAAGCAATTTTTTAGTTTAACACAAACTATAAATTATTTAAATCCACAAAATAATTAATGAAACACAACCACACAACTAAACACTAGGCACAGAACGTAAACAATCCACCATTTATATGACCAGAGACGTCACAACCAATAGGATTGCGTTTTAGAGATTCATGAATAATTTGAATTTTAGCTGAATTTGTTTATTAAATATTTAACAAAATAGCAATAGATTTGAACGCGCGAAGAAAAACAGCGTCTGATGTGATTGGGTTGAAAGTTTGCGGGTGTTTAGGGTGAAGTATTTTATGTCTTCTGTAGAAATTTCAAAATGCTACTGCATCCAGATTAGAAGTTGCGATTTTTTATTGGAAAGCCTGCAGTTGCTTAAATCGTTTATTTTCAGCCCAACATTTAGAAACCGCACAAAGAACAGGATCTTATGCGATTTGGTTGAAAATTTGATGGTTTTTAAAGTGAAGTGTTTTCTATCGTCTGTAGAAATTTCAAATTGCTACTTGATCCAGATTAAAAGTTGCGATTTTTTTTTGAGAGTCTGCAGTTGTTTAATACCGTTTATTTTCAACCTAACATTTACACACCGCGCAAAGAACTGCATTTAATGTGATTTGGATGACAGTTTCAGGTTTTTTAGAGTGAAGCTCCTTCTATCGATTGCATAAATTTCAAATGGCTACTTGATCCAGATTAAGTTGCGATTTTTTGTTGAAGAGTCTGCAGTTGTTTAAAAACGTTTATTTTCAGACTGACTAAAAGCGCGTAA